TTCAGATTGACGAGTGAATGAACGTTCATTTCGTACCTGAAGATGCTCGTGGAGATCTGATTTCGAATTTTTCAACGTCCGACGAGTGGAAAGATTGCATTGCCGTGAACGATTTAACCAGGGCATAAAAATAAATTTTCTCTAAAAGTTGGCGGAAAAGGTATACAAATTACTCCATTTCTATCGTGTGACTTTTTTAAATAACTTCAATTGCTGGTAGAATGGCACGAGAAATGTTGACTATAGAAATCAGATCGATTAGTCCCAGTGGAAGAATGAAACGACTAACCAATAATTACCGGAACTTTTGTTATTGCATTAGGATTAAAATCAGGCTGAGTGCACGTGAATTCCCCATCGACTATTACTTCCTTAGACGAGAAATTCTCGACGGTGTTCAATTACCGTGGCCAGATCGGCCGCTGATTACGACACGGAGCTTTGTGCGCCATGAAAACCGCGCGATCGTCGTTGAAAACCAGATCCACGCTTTTTTCCTGTCCCCTTTTCTCTTTGTTCTTTTGGAGTTGCGTTGGTCGACGAAGGATAATTAACAGTGTGGCTGATCACGAAAAGCCGAAATAAGCAGAGGGGAACAGAAGCCCGCGGTTCGTCGCTCTCGGGGATAATTTGCTAATGACACGCTGTCTCGTTGAAAGTCGCCAAGGAAAGGCATAAATAAAGGTGGCTCCATGGATAAACTCGATTCGACGAAGAGTTATAATTAATTGTTCAGCTGCCTGATTCAATTTGTATTACAGTGGACACTGGGATAAGCGGGATTTTAACGTGAGTGGGATAGTAAGGTGAGGGAACTCTGAGTATTCGGAGCATTCAAAATTCAGGGTGCTCAAGATTTGGAACATTCAGAATTCGGGGCGCTCTGGTTCACAACTCACAATTACTTCCGTTAATGGACAGTGGTCAGGCGGTTACATAAGGTTGCGCAAAGGATATCGATGGCTCATTTTCCGCATTTTTATTCCGAAGAGATCGGATCGGTCCTTTCGAGTGAATGGACATTGTTCGCTGGACACGACTGGCATAAAGGGAGCCTCGACTCTCTCTACTCTATATACTCCACGTTTTTCACCCCTCCTCCTCTCTCCTTATCCTCGAGGTCCTCTTCATTCAACCTTCTTACGATCCGGTCGAACCAGTATCGTTGCACGAACAGAAAGAACGAGGGGAAGGGAAGGAGAGACAAAACCCCCCTTGAAAGTCGATCGAGCTGCGAGGCTATCGATAACGCGCATGGTAACCCACTTATAGTCCACCTTGGCTCACGAACATTGCGGTTCAATCGCTTTTTTTTACGTTTAGGTTATCCTGTACGTATCAATTTTATTAAAAATCCGTAGGGGAGTCGGGCAAGATCACCTCTATTTGTTATAAAACCTGTAATTTCATTTAAGACACGAAAGGTATACAAATTACTCCATTTCTATCGTGTGACTTTTTTAAATAACTTCAATTGCTGGTAGAATGGCACGAGAAATGTTGACTATAGAAATCAGATCGATTAGTCCCAGTGGAAGAATGAAACGACTAACCAATAATTACCGGAACTTTTGTTATTGCATTAGGATTAAAATCAGGCTGAGTGCACGTGAATTCCCCATCGACTATTACTTCCTTAGACGAGAAATTCTCGACGGTGTTCAATTACCGTGGCCAGATCGGCCGCTGATTACGACACGGAGCTTTGTGCGCCATGAAAACCGCGCGATCGTCGTTGAAAACCAGATCCACGCTTTTTTCCTGTCCCCTTTTCTCTTTGTTCTTTTGGAGTTGCGTTGGTCGACGAAGGATAATTAACAGTGTGGCTGATCACGAAAAGCCGAAATAAGCAGAGGGGAACAGAAGCCCGCGGTTCGTCGCTCTCGGGGATAATTTGCTAATGACACGCTGTCTCGTTGAAAGTCGCCAAGGAAAGGCATAAATAAAGGTGGCTCCATGGATAAACTCGATTCGACGAAGAGTTATAATTAATTGTTCAGCTGCCTGATTCAATTTGTATTACAGTGGACACTGGGATAAGCGGGATTTTAACGTGAGTGGGATAGTAAGGTGAGGGAACTCTGAGTATTCGGAGCATTCAAAATTCAGGGTGCTCAAGATTTGGAACATTCAGAATTCGGGGCGCTCTGGTTCACAACTCACAATTACTTCCGTTAATGGACAGTGGTCAGGCGGTTACATAAGGTTGCGCAAAGGATATCGATGGCTCATTTTCCGCATTTTTATTCCGAAGAGATCGGATCGGTCCTTTCGAGTGAATGGACATTGTTCGCTGGACACGACTGGCATAAAGGGAGCCTCGACTCTCTCTACTCTATATGCTCCACGTTTTTCACCCCTCCTCCTCTCTCCTTATCCTCGAGGTCCTCTTCATTCAACCTTCTTACGATCCGGTCGAACCAGTATCGTTGCACGAACAGAAAGAACGAGGGGAAGGGAAGGAGAGACAAAACCCCCCTTGAAAGTCGATCGAGCTGCGAGGCTATCGATAACGCGCATGGTAACCCACTTATAGTCCACCTTGGCTCACGAACATTGCGGTTCAATCGCTTTTTTTTACGTTTAGGTTATCCTGTACGTATCAATTTTATTAAAAATCCGTAGGGGAGTCGGGCAAGATCACCTCTATTTGTTATAAAACCTGTAATTTCATTTAAGACACGAATTTTGCGGTGATTTTAGCGATCCTATGATATTTTGGAGCGTTATTATAAAGTGAGGGCAATTTGTAGGAAAAGTGGAGGAAGTATTCAAGGTTCGAGCGCTTTATTAGAACGATTTAAGTGAGCCAAATTTCAAAATTCCAAAATCAGAGCGCCCTGTATTCTAAGTGTGCTGAATCTACGCGTGCCAAATTCTGACCACCCCAGAAATCTGGTTTCTGAGCGTTCTAAATTTGAGCATACCGAATTCTGGGGTGTCGAAATTTCGACACCCCAAAAATGTGAACGCCCTGTATTCTGAGCTTCCTAGAATTTCGGGGTCCCAAATTCGGCCGTTGAAAAAGTTCATCACCCTTCTAAATATCAAACCCTCCGCTACGTTATTCGATTATACCACAACGATCGACTCGAAGATGAAATGATTCGACGACTGGTATTCTAATTGGCGACGTGAATAAACGACGCCCGTTTATCTCGAACACCTGGCCGAGGGTAATGAACGTCGTAAGTTCGTCGACGACGCAAACTGGGAGATGGATGTTGGAAAAATGGAAAGGGACCGATGATTAGGACATAACAACCAGAGGAACCGAGTGGAAATCGGAGAAAAAGAGATATCCATGGGTCGAATTGATGAATGGCTTAGATCAGTTCTTATAAGAAACGCTTAATCTCAGCAACGGGCGGACGAGTCCTCCAGCTTTCGCGCAGATTTATCGTTTCATCTGCTCGCTACCGGTTTCGATTTCGTGTCTGTTCGGATTCCACCTCCGGCCACCCCGGAAATGGATCCACCCTTGATCAACACTGATCAACACTAAAGTACCTGCCTATGTATGTCCTTTCGAGATCAATTTGTTTTCAAGACAATTAGTATAAGTATAAATCTAGAACGAATATTGAAGGTCAGCACCGAAGTAAAATTGGTCCCCATTCAATGTTAAAAAATTCACAAAAATGCAAACAAGAGAGTTCAAAAAATGGAATTGAAATGAAATTCATGTGCACTCAGACATAGAAAAAAAAATGCAAATTTTCAATGAAAAAAATTTCATTCGTATTTCTCTATTCTTCCAAATACTTTACAAACCGTTCACACAGAAATTTCTCCTTATTCTACACGAGTCACTACTTGAGATCCTCTGGCGGAAGAAAGGCAACAGCGACAGGCGGATCAAAGCCGCTATTAATTTGTCTAAGCGGATGATAAATGCGTTCTGGAGGATTTTTGTTTTTTTTTTAAGGCACAGTCCCTCAACCGTTGATCCTTTTATTTTCCACTCTCTTTCTATACTAGCTCGTTCCTTTTTTTTCGGCAAGGGAAAAAGGATTAATGGGCTTATAGAATGACACTGTCGTTCGATAAGATCGGGAGGCCCGTTTTACCTGTCGGCTGCCGGTCTCCGGCCGATCATATCTCGCTGAATTCAAATCGCATCGTGTATCTCGAAAGTCCGCTGGTAAAACAGGCTTTTTATCGATTTTTATCGGCGCTGCCTCGACTCTGTACACGTCGAACACGATGGAATCGTGTCTTTAACTACCCATCACTCTTCTAAATTTTTGATATTGTCCAGGAACCCTTCTGGAAATGTTTCTTTCAGCTTCCAATAGTTTTATCGTTAGTGATAATTAAAAGTTTTTCCTTTTGACATCGTTGCCAACGCATTTTATGCAATTCTGAAATCACTGTTTGTGATTGGACCTCCCGCGACGCACGACAAACCGAATTTCACGCCTCTAGCCACTGACCATCGCTAAAAACCGGAACGCTACTCATTAACGTGCCTGACCGCCACTCGAGCCGGAAGAGGGCGGTTTCAGGGCAACAAAATAAATTCGAGCCCTAGCTTCTCTTAAAATTACCCACCAAAAAACGTAAGATCAAACTTGGAAAACACGGAGCACCTGGAAATTCCGAAATAGAATATGACGATTTTCAAAGAACTATTATGAGATACATAGATTAACAAAATAGTCGCATAATGCAATTTATTAATTATTCAATTATATTTTGCATGAACTCTACTACATTGTAATTATTTTGTGTTTTGTGTTTCTCTTTCTCATTTGAAAATCATCAAATTCGATCGCTGCATCCGTTATAAACCACAAAACAAATAAAAAAGAAACGATTAATCCTTAAAGATGGCACTGATCGATCAGAGTGGCCTAAAGGCCGATGTCCACCGAGTATATTTAACCTGTCCCAGTTTAAAACGATATCCCATCGGTATCTTTCTTGAAACGGATGGTAAAAAAGGTATGGAAAAAAGAACAGGTTTAATTGCGAGTTCGTCGAAGTGAAAAACTCACCGGTCGCTTTGAGGGTTCTGGTCCCTGTCTGATGATCTCGAGGGGTGCTGGTATCGAGGGCCTGCCCAGGTACCAATCCTCTCGTGGATTGTAGTTGTCCAGAAGCTTGAGCAGGCGTGGCACGTTCACGTAATTATCGTCGTCGAAGTGGCAGAACCACCTGAAAACCGAGAGAAGGACCAGTTGGTCAATTTAAAGATCCTTTTGGCCTTGTTTGATCGTTCTTTATTGATAGACACGTTCACCGAGATAGGATGGAGAAAGTGCAGAGGAAACTGGGTATCATCGTCATTGGGGACAGGATCGTGAATAAATCACAATTAAGTATGCTTTTAATGAACCTGGCGTGATTGTTCGTACAAGTTTTTGATTAAGGAAAAATCAGTTAGTTTTGAGGAGTATGAATGACATGTTGAAGATGTGGAACTTTACATGGTGAATTTTTTGTACGTAGAATAGGTGTAGCCAAAATTTAGGGCCCTTAGAATTCACAGCGCTCATCAGAATTTGAGACGCTTAGAATTTTAGATGCTCAGAATTCAGAAGGCTGAGAATACACAACGTTCAGAATTTGAGACGCGGAGAATGCACAGCACTCTGAATTTCAAGAGCTTGGAATTCGTGGCGCTTAGAATCCACAGCACTCACAATTTGATGCGATCAGAATTTATGACGCGTAGAATTCACAACGCTCAGAATTAGAAGTGTTTGGAATACAGGGCGCACAGAATCCACAGCGTTCAGAATTCGGAACGTTCGAAATTCCGAAAGCTTAAATTTCAGAGCGTTCAAAACTCAGGGCGCTCAAAATTATCTATACGTGGAATTGCTTACAAAAGGAAGAAAGGATACAGCAGAGAAAGGTATAGAAGAGAGGAGAAAAGGTGGGGGAAAAATCGAGATAAACTTTATCGTTGGCAAAGTGGCCGACATCGAAACGCAATCGCAAACAGGCGTTTCCCAGAAGATGCACCGAGGCAACAGGCTGACAGGGAGCATAAACGGGTGTACAGAGTGTACGATAGGCGAAATAAAATCTCTCTCTAACGAAGAATTCCGCCAAGAGTGCCATTAGCGCTACCGGGTGGTCAACGTTGCTCGATACGTAGCTGCACAGTGTTTCGGTGACCGTCGTCGTTAATACACCTGAATTCCAACTTAATGGCATAGCTCGGTCTACGCTGGTTATATGAAGACAGAAACGACGCTGCTCTTTGCTCGTATATGCGCGCCCGATCGTATCTTCCGCGTGAACCGGAACGATATATTGTATGTAGTCCCTCTGACAATACGACGTTCGTTATGCGTTCGGTAATCCCAGCTTTGCCGTGTAACTTTCGTGTTTTCTTGATTGAAGCTTGTGATTTAGTAATTTCCTAGGCTTAGAATTTCCTGCGCTTGGAATTGCACACAATTCGAATATCCTACTCTTAGATTTGCGTATGCTTCGAATTTCCTACAATTGAAATTGGCCCGCGCTCCAAATTTTCTACGCTTTGAAAATCCTATGCTTGGAATTGCCTGCCCTTAAAATTTCCTACGTTTGGAATTGCCTGTGCTTAGAATTTTCTGGACTTGAAATCGCCTATGCTTCGAATTTTCCACGCATCGAGGTCTGTACGCCTGGAATCTCCTGTGCTTGGAATTTCCCATATTTCCAATCACTCGCATTCCGCCCTAACTCCCCATACACCAAATTTCCTCTGTGTCAAACCGTCCTACCACCCACACAGTGTAAATTCCTTCACGTATCACCATTCGCCTCCTCCGCGAATCATTCCAGCCACTCTGGCGCGGTGTACATCGTCTCGTTACTCGCTAACCATGTATAAAGCCCTACTCCACGGAATCACCATTACACATAGTACAACTGCACCGTACTCGGAACCTCTTCCGTGGAAATTCGAACGCGTCTTCGATCTGCATACGTATTAAATCAACATTCGCCTGAACCAGACCACATGAATCATTTATACCGCCTGCTAATTCAACTAATTCGATATTTGTCCAAGGCATTCGTTTTTCTTCAAGAAAAAAAGACGATAAAAATTTTGGCTTGCTTAAAGAAAAGAAAAAAAGTAAGTACACCGTTTTTACCTGTCATCTTATTGAACGAGGATATTTATCAAGCGTCGGTGTATCACAATAAAGGGTACACGACCGGTCGAAAAAGCAAAACCGCCGCGTTAAAATCCAAGCACACCTTGTACCTGTAATCTGCATATATATTAGGCCGAGGCGAGAAAATAAAGGTGCGAAGTCTGGTCCGTTTTTATCCCAGTCGAGATTGAACTACCTTCTTTCTACTGCTGTCGGTGCTGCTGAGTTTAATGGGTGAATTAATGGGTCGCCAATTCCTCTTGGGAATCGTGCTGCGAGGTATCATTGGAGAACGGAAGTTGAACGTTGTTGAATTGGAATATTCTTTTTTCCTTTCTTCTTTCGTTGGGCTTCTGTTGAGGTATAATTGTGGTGGAAATTGGAATTCGGGTAACTGTTCTTAGAGTTAATTGTCTTCACTTGCGCACGGAATTGCTTCGAATTTCCTATTACTCCATATTCCTACGCTTCGCATTTTCTATTTTCTCATCTTCCTACGCTCTAAAGTTTGTATTTTCTAAATTTCCTATGCGCATAAATTGCTGTCCCCCAAATTTTAATGTTCCAGTTAATGCTCGTCGAAGCAATGTGAACTATAAACCGGTCGGGTTCGAGATCGCGTTGCGAGTTTCGACACTTCGGGCCCTTTGATCGGTACGCGAAGGCCACTCATAAAAATTCGAAACGCCAGGCTTAATTAAATACCACGTCTAGAGTGGAACGAGCCACCCTCTGAGCGGGCAGCCAATTCGAGAAACGATTAAACGACTTTCTCGACCGATCGGAAACCATTAGCCCGAGCTATTCGGTGATACATCGGTAGTTCGATGATGAATCGATCTGTAAATGCGGATCTATACCATCGATACACCGTTTCCCTCGTGCCCCATGGTTCATTAATAATGTCTCTGAACTGGTTGATGGGTACTAATGATCCATCCTACCGAATTTGACCGGGAGGAGTCGATGGTCGATTTCCATGGATGAGAATACAACGAAAAGAAAATCGAAAGAGTTAAAAATTCAATATGTAACAATTCCAAAGCACTCAAAATACAATATTTAACTATTCTACAGCGCTGAGAATTGAACGCGTGGAAATTGCGAAGTCTGAACCTTCTACGCGTGACAATTCCGAGGCATCGCAATTCCGATACCGCGCGCGGCAACTCCAAGATTCGAAGTTACACGCGATGCGATTACGTCGCTTTTCTACGCACGTTAATTCCAGATTCCTGAAATTCCACGCGCACAATTCCATGGCTCGGAACTCTGCACGTCGTAGCTCCGAATTTCCTATAATTTCACACGCGGCAATTCCAGTGAAATCTAAAATTAAAATTGCACCCCTTTCCTCGCAATTCCCATAGACGTGTCGAGGATCTCAGCCGCAAGAAATACACCTGCCCGACTCACGATAGTTGTACGGTTGCCCACAACGATTTTTGCCCCATCGATCGCCGCGGGATCGTTTATTCACGCACGATCAGACTCTGCGGTTCACGATAGAGAAGAGAGAACGGAGGGAAGCCACGTCACGCGATGGAAAAAAGAATAATTCGGTCAAGTTTGCGCGTCCGGTCGTCGAATGGTGAGGTGGGGGCACACGCGAGCACTGCTCGGCCGTTTTACACGACAATTAACAGACCAGGCACACCCACGACTCATTAAGCCCGTGGCCGGCCTCGATGTCAATTTGCCGGCTCGTTGCTCGCGCCAGCTAGCACGCGCGAATTCGAACTTACAGTGAACAGGTTGCGCGCGTTTTCGAGAGCTACTTTTCAGTCTAACAATCTCGAAAACATTCCCGTTTGGAAATCAGTGTCAATTTTTGGAAGAAATGCGTTAGGAATGGATTTGAGAAGTTGAAGAAATGGTTGCTTAATTTGGAGGATTTACCTAGTGAATCAAAAATAGGAGTTTTTTTGTAGGATTTGAAACGATAAAGATGAGATTTTTTTATACTACACGTAGAAATAAATAATCTAATAATAAATAAACCGCGATATTTGTTAATACATGTAGTACTTATGGATTTTGCATGGAATTTTTGTTTGTATCTCTGAAATACTACGAATCTTAGCACTTTACCTGCGGGCATTTCCGGCGCGAGCTTACGTTAACCGCGCTCGCTCCTTCTTCGCTGCACTGCATACTTTGCAAGCTCTTCGTGGATTTTCATCAGTCCCTTTTCCTATTATTTTCGTAATTTTATGTCTCTTCATGTCTTCGCGGTAGTCGAACACGACGCCTATGATATCGTAAACACGCGTTGAAGAGCGTTGGCAGTAAAAGTCACGAATATGTGACGCCCGCCGATAATGGTTGGCCGCGTGAATCACGTATACGTGTCTCCCGCAGGTAAAGTGTTAAGTCACATTAGCCTCTCAAGTAAATATCTCTCTTCCAATCTGTCTTAAGTCTACGTTAATCCCTGGTAGATCAGATCATCAACCACATATAGGGGAAACCGGGGCTGCTTGTCTACAGGGGTAAGTTGACTAACTGTCAATAACATTGCACCAACGTGTACTATAACGCGGAAAAATTTATTGTAGAAATAAGTCACTTCTATTATGCCATTTATTTGCTTTCAACGCCATGATCGCACGTTGTTTGAGTATTATCAGCGTTTGTCGAAAAATTGGTTACCTACAGTCGGTCACAAAAATATTCGGACACCGGTACATATAATTTTGTCTTTTAAGCTTTACACTTTGAGCAAGCATGCAATTACATACAAAAATGAATTGAATTATGTTAGAGTGTAGTACATATAGAGAATCTATAAATGCCAAAACGACTGGCTTTTTATATATCGTTGCGTTATATTGCAAGAAATATCTCACATATTCAAAATTTTGTCACAAAAATATTGGGACACTTTATTAATTTAAGTTATGAAATAAAAATAATACCTCCGATATATCTCTTTAATATTTCGTTGGATACCCTTTATTTTTAATGACTTCTCTTAAACGGTTTTGCATGTTATGAATTATTTTTTTCAAAAAATCTGTGTTGATTTTGTGCCATTCTTCCTTTATCCGACTTCTTAGC